CTCTCTTAATTCTGCTGGAATCATACGATACAGAGGGATGGAAATGGGGTGAGTGTCAGTTTCCAAGTCAATGCAGAAATCTATATCTCTATATGGAGGCATACCAGGTAAATCCGTAAGAAACACTTCCTTAAACTAAGACACCACAAGAACATACTCAATAGAGGGACACTCAACCTCAACATCTCAAACTTGAGGTAAATAAGCCAAACAAGCCTGCACTACCAGTTTCCTCGCCCGAATATTGGATATGATCTTAGCTAGCTTAGGCTTGTACATCCCTTCCCACTCAAATCTTTCCCTACCGGGGATCTCTAAAGTTACCGACTTAGTATTACAATTAAGCTCGGTATAATAGGGGGACAACCAAGTCATGCCTAAGATTATATCAAGTCAGTCATATCCAGCATAACCAAATCAACCCAAATCTGAAAATCCATAAACACATCAAGACAACACGATATAAATGGGTGACTATGACTGATTCGTCAACTGGGGTAGAAACATGGATGGGGGCATCAAGTATATCACAAACCACATCAAATCCCAAGGCAATTGAACTGACATATATGAATAAGTAAGACCCGAATAAAACAAAACAATAGTCGTCCGGGCACGAACAAGAGTATCTCTTGTAACCACTGCATCACACCCTCAAACTCGGTCTTACCCGAAAAAACATAAAATTGAGCCATGTCCTCTTGACGGGTAACCTCCATGCCTGGCTGCACTACTCTTCTACCTGCATTACCATTTCCCCGGCCTAGACGACCTCATTGATTTCCTCCTCATATGCTCAGGTTCTCCACAATTTTAACTCACCTTATAACTTATATTTGATTGCTGAACACCGAATTAGATCACGGGGGTTAGTTCGGGTACGATTCGGGGTCCATAATTGTGACTACGAGAAAACAGGGGAAATAGGTCTAAGATTATGTCTCGCCCTATCCCGCTCTGGCGGGAGAAATCCCACACTGGCGGTCTCACCCTGGCGAGTAAAATCCCGCCCCACGGCCTTGACGGAAATAGAACCCCTGCCATTAATTTATGGGGTTCCTCTCTTTTCTATATTTCCCCTAGATTTCCCGGCTATAACTAGGAATTTAAGAAAATCCCTTTAGCTAGGACAATCGTTGTGTAACCCCCCCCCCCCCCCCCCCCCCCCCCCCCCCAACAACCCCATATATAGGCTATAAGTAGGCATTTAATAAAATCCCTTTAGCTAGGACAATCATTGTCTGCCCCCCGGTCAACCCAACGAAGACGCACTTTAGAATCATGTTTACATCGTTTCAACACTACCACAGACATATCCCCAGGATATACCCAGACTCTCACACGGTTATCAGTTGGTCGCAACACACATCCAGATTTCTCGCTTAGGAACCACATCGTAATTTATCTAGACCCTTGCAACTAATCTCATGATGACTTTCTTTTCACAACAAGTTTCATGACACTCAAGCAGTTACAACTTGCAGATAAGTCCAAATTCTTTAAGTAGTTTATTCCATAGATGACCGTTACTGATTATCTATGCCTTATACGACCCCTAAGGACAGATATCAGTTAGAACCTTCTCAGTTCCAATTAACTTGGTTGTGTCCCTTCAGCCGGGACTAAGGCGTCAAGTTCACTTCGTTGAGATACCAATTGGAATCGGGACATACCAATTGGACTCAACTCATACCACAAGCGACAATAGTAGCTAGCGAGCCCCACAAAATTGCTAATTTCAATCATAGAACTTGGTTGAACCAAATACTTAACCGCCTCAATATTTAACTGATGGTAACCAGACCTTAAATTAATCTTAGAAAAGATCGATGAACCTTGCAATTGGTCAAAAAAAGGTCATCTATTTGAGGCAATGGATACTTGTTCTGAATGGTGACCCTATTCAATTGTCGATAGTCTATACACATCCTCTCTTACTAGTGATGGTGAACTTGAAAGTCATTATAACAAAGGGTACAACCCCAAAACTAAATAACACCTTAAACAAGAGTCGGAGACTGAAAAGAGTGGACTTAAACAAGAAAGATCCATGGCAACCTGAAAGAACTGGCTCACCCTTGAATTCGGTCACGCTCAATAGTCACCTAGCTAAAGTCTATCAATAGCCACTTGATGATGCCCTGTACTGAACAAAGAAAGAGCAAATGCAGTATCAGTACACAACCACAGTGTACTGGTAGGATCACGCGGCTATCCCATTAAGTGCAACATACATAAGTCATTAAAATAATATAATAACATGCATACACCGAATATACACAATATTGATATCATTTACAAATAACGAATAATTTCACATTTATCAAGATATACCATTATGTCAAATCAATCGTCCTCTCATGGAACCCACACCCAAACTATTGGTATACCGGAACGTGGTATCTGATCCAATATTTATGTCGGAACGTGGCAATCAATCCCATGTTTATGCTGGAACGTGGAAACCGATCCAATGTTTATGCCGAAATCTGGCAATCGATCCAAGTTAGTGTGAACGCAACACCTGATCCATTCAACAAGCCACAATCACAATCACAAGTATATTCTCAAAATAATAAAATAAATACATGATTCATGGCATTCATCATTCATCTATCCTCATCCACAAGTAGTGTGATCAATAGTGCAACATTCGCATACATACACATTTTATAATGAAGCAAGAACAAACATATATCACAGAATCATGAAATCACAACCATCACCTACCTTGAATCCAAGCTTGAATCCCCTAAGGCACTTGAATCTTCCGTTTTTGGATTCTTCCCGCTTGTTCGTGGTCTAAAAATATACAATTAACGCACGGATCAATAAACGAGGCCTAATTACCCAGATTATAATCAACATTATCAACCCTAGGCCAGATCCTTGATCCCCATACCCAGATTAGGGCTTTTCCCACCATCCAAAAAGTTCCAAAACCCAATGATAATTACCCAAGAAACTACGTTCTACGGATCGAAATACGGATTCGGGAAGTGAAAACCTTACCTTTAACCTCAAGAATGGTGAAAATTGGTCAAGAACTTGCTTGGTGTCGTCTCCTAGCTCTCAAAGTCGAAAAGTGCAGAATAAAACAATTTTGGGGTTTTATTTCCGACTTAAGTCGCGTCTGTCCCGCTACGGCGGGACCAATCCCACTACAGCGGCCCCGCTACAGCGGCAGCAATCCCGCTACGGTGGCATGCACGGAGACAGAATGTTGGAATTTAAATTCCAAGCCCCCATTTCACAACACACCTTCAACCCTTGACATTCAAAAACCACATGTTCACGCTAAGATCATTTTCAGGAGTTCTACTCGCCCGAATTCAATTTCGGAAAGTCGTACGGGTTCCTTAACGTCTTAGCTATCTATTCATGTAATCAAAATTGTAATTAATTCACCCAGTTGTTACCAGATTTCTCGAGACTTTACTGACTCTGATTTCGTCCAAATCAGGACTAGGTTAGAATTTCAAGTTACTACCAAAAGTTTTCTCACCACAATTCTTCTCCATTGGCTTTTCCCTAACTACAGAATCAGGTTGTTACATTAATTTACATTCAATTTGGGGAAATTGAGTGATAAATAAAATTGGGGTATAAAAAAAATTGGGCTTATTCATGAACTTCAATATGTACACACATGTCACTAAATTTGAGCCTATTCAAAACTAAATCTTTTGTGCACACCTGTCACTAAGTCGCATTGGAAGTAAATATTTAATGCATACTAAGTTGCATTAAATAAGATATACATCAATAAAAAAAATTCCTCAATTCATTTTATTGCCTCACCTCTTTGTTTCTCAAACATAAGTGTGTGTTATAGTTTTTTTTTCAAGTCCAACGGGAGGGAAAGAGAAGAAGGGAAAGGAAAAGGGAGTGAAAAATGAATTAAAAGAAGATTTTTTTTACAGATATAACCCACCGATTAACTCTCTTTTTTTGTAGATAGATGTTTTTGGACTTTTGATTTTTCTTTCCCAGAGAGCCTCAAAAGGTGAGTTCTTTTATCGAATGAAAATTGTCTGCTCTTTTTTTTTCTCTTCAATTTTCAATTTTTATAGTAAAAAATGTTGTTGTTTTTGTTCTATTTTTGTAGCACGAAATGATTGAGATCTGATGTAATTGATACACCATCATTTAAGCGGCCAATTTGTTCTTCTCATGGAGAATCGTAAGTTCATGTCTTCAATTAATTTTATTCTATGTGTGTGGTAATTTTTATATACATCACTATCCCCAACTTTTTTTTATTTGCCAAAATTAAGCATTGGATTAAAGGGGATTAGAATATAACTTAGCTACTACTTGTGTTTAAGAACATTACAAGTTGACTTAATACATTAATAGCCCCCTTAAATAATATTTATTTAGATACTCAAATTATAATGTGTTCAAATTATATTGAGCACATGAACAAATGATAAAATATTTTTTATTAGACACTTTGAGTTTGAATTTCAGAAACATTTTGCATACAAGTATCAATAACATAGATTTGTTAAACTTTTAAAATATGTTGCCTCCTTTAATTATACACATTGACCTTAGTAAGACTTAAAACCTCAAGCATGTTACAATAGGTATCAAAATATATATTTAAATGATATAAAAAAAATTATGTAGTTAACTTATGTAGCTAGCAATGTTTGAGAATGCACACAATTATTTTTTAAATTAAAACATATGAGCATGTGTTTCAATGCTCAGCTCGAACATATGGTATATCGAGTGTCTACATAAAATGTAATGAAAAAATTAATGTTAAGCCTTCCATGTTTGTGTGTGTCTAAAATATTTCATTTTCTATCTCCAAACACTACATATGTAGTTACTTTATCTTTCAAGATTTAGTTAGGTGTGAAGATATATTACCCACCTTTACTAGAATTTGAGCTATAATATCATTGATTTTGCCACAATATATTTAAATGGCTACTTATGGTTATGGTTTTGATGTTTTTATTTTTTCTATCTCTTGGATGAATTAGGTATGGTAGCAGCATAGATCCAGTTGTTGCGTTGTCTTATGTGAGGGAGATTAAGGACACATTTGTAGACCAAGTAGAAAAGTATGACATGTTCCTTGATGTTATGAAAGACTTAAAGGCTCAAAGGTTTGTAACTAAATTTTACCTATTTCTGTGATCTTTATTAAAATATTTACTAATTTGGTGATTTATGTGGGACTATGTCTTTAAATATTCCTTACAGAATTGATCATGTTTGTGTCATAGAAAGAGTGAGAGAATTGTTTAAAGAGTATCCTAGTTTGCTCCTTGGATTTAATGCTTACTTGCCCAATGGCTGTGAAATAATGCTCAATGATGAAGACAAGGCTTCTTCGAAGAAAAAGACTAACAATGAAGAAGAACGCAATTTAGTGAAAAATATAAAGGTTACATTTTTGTTATCTTATGATTTTACTAATAAAAGTAGGACTTGTTCTTGTTTAAAAACATTAGTCCTAATTTACTAACTTGTAACTTCTTGCAGAAATGTTTTGGAAATGACCATGAGTACAAATCATTCGTAGATATTATGATGATGTATAAGAAAGATAGAAAGGACATCAACGAAGTGTATCATGAGGTGATAATTTTTTTCAAAAAATTGGATACATAGATATCATAGACAATGTTTATGTTCTTGTTTCGTACTATTTTATTATATGTGTAGGTTGCGGTACTTTTCAATGACCATCCTGATATGCTAGATGAGTTTATTGAATTCTTGAAAGATTCAATTACTCCCAATCCATTATGAAGTTTACTCCTTGTTTTAAATCCCCTCTTGCCCTGTGGCTATGATATAATCCTTAACGATGAAGTCAAGCCTCCTTTGAAGAAATCAATTCACTTAGAACAAGTATTCAACTTTGTGAACAAAATAAAGGTTACATTTCTATTACCTCATGATTTTACTAATTAAAGTCTTCCTTTTTCTTCTTCAAAACACTTTCGTAATACCTTATTAACTTGTACCTTCTTGAAGAAACATTTAGTAAATAACCATAAGTACAAATCCTTCATAGATATTATGAACTAGTGTAGGAAGGATCGCAAGGATGTCAAAGAGGTATGCGATGAGGTCACCATTTTTTTTATAATTTGAGCACATAGATATTATAGACAAAATTTATGTTCTTGTTCGTTACTACTATTTTATTATATTTGTAGGTTGTCGTACTTCTCAGTGACAGTCTGAATTTGCTGGATTAGTTCTCTGGATTCTTGCCAGATTCAGTTTCTACTAATCTGTTGTCTAATTTGGACGGTGATAAAAATTTATGAGGTGACATATATCACTTTTGTTGTGCTATTCAAATCAAATTTATATTTAATATGTGGATTTAATAGAATCACATAATTTAAATAGTTTAATTTAAAACTTAGATTGTTGAACTTGATGATTCATCAATTGTTTTCATCTAATCCTGCATCGTTTAATTGATATTAAACTTTTACTATATGTGAGGTGTATTTTTTTTCATTTTTATCATTTTGGTAAATAATTAATTAGAAATAAAAATATATTTAAATTACTTGTGTGTAAGGGTTCCAACATTATCAAATGTCTACAACCTAATGATCTTGAGGAGAGTCTTACTTTAGATGAATACAAATTTGTTAACTTACCACTTTACCAGAAAATACATATAAAAATTAGTTTTGTTTGGTGTAAATCATTGAAATGAACTTCCTAATTTGTTATCAAATTCAATTTTCTATAATAATAAGTATATATAATATAATTCGTCACAATAATTGAAGAGATATTTCAAAATTTTAATATCCAACACAATTTTATAGTTCTGTTGCATACTACATAAACTATTTTTGTACATGATGTTGTTGAGAAAAAATATGATCACATAATTAATTTTTTTCCTTCTGAGGTAAATTACACCAATTACAAATTTATTAATCTACTCAAAATACTATAAAAATAACTAACTTTACTTCGCAGAATTCTCATAATTCTCATTATTATATTACCTAGAGTGATGTAGTACGTAATACTAATGAGAAGAGATTTGAAACATGTGACATTACTTTGCAATTGAGATGAATTGTATTGACTACAACTTTATTACAGAATTATTAACATACCTTTTGTAATTTATGGGCGGGATTTGGGTCATGTTCAATTTATCACCTCTCCGCAATATTTTTCCAGTCTACATCTACCTCTTCTAATATCCATCTTAGTCAAACCTCACTTCTCTTAATCGAAAAGCATATGCATCTCCTCTTCACGTGTCTAAACCATCTTAGTTTGACCTCCCTCATTGTTATCACCATGGAGGTCACTCCAATCTTGTATTGAATACTTCTGTTCCTAATCCTGTTTCTCTTAATATGTTTTCCCATTCATCTTATCATCCTCATTTCTTCTACTATTTTTTACTGAACATGCATGTTTTTGACCGGTCAACACTTCACTTCAAAGTTAATCTAAGAACCCTATTTTTAATCTAGATGATACATCCTTGTTACACAAGACACTACATACAGGCCTCCATTTCATTCACCATGCTCCAACATAAAAATAAAATTATTCAGCATGAAAAAGTTTTAAGAAGAAACTATTTATCCGTTGTGAAATGTTAGTAAGTCTCATATCGTCTTCTTTTTTTTGTCAATATTACTCCATTACATCTCAAATTAGAAAATCAACTAACTCCTGATTTTTTTGAAGTAATATTGTTTCAAAATGAAACAAAATTACTCATATGCTGTATTTTTTTCATATGAGATGCATTTGTTTCTATATTTAAATTTTCAAAAAATAATAATAGAGACAAAAATATTGCAATTTCTATAGTATCTTATTTTAATATAGTGTGCGTTACAATTTCTATGAATCCTCTAAAATTCTTATTCTAAAATAACTTTAATGGTCTGTGATGAATGTGATTGTAACATCTAAAAACCTAACTAAGACTGAACAATAGAAAAAGGGTGAACCACAGAGGGGTTCACGGGCCATGAACAGGACAAGCACCACAGACTTGAGAAAAGCCCATGAGTGAGTAGCTGTTAAGTTTCAGAGGAATGCACCTATATTCATATGAATCGTGCATTTGAGATAAAAGCGAGTTGTACTCTCTTCCCTAAGCCTTATTCAGCTGAGACCTTTAAGAGGATGGTATGTTTAGAGCTCGGGTAATACTTTCACCCTAGAAGGTAGCATGAGTAACGAGATCATGCGTAGTTGTAGAGAAATAGCCCAGAGTTAGAGAAAAGTATACAGAGGTTGAGTGATCTAAGTAAGGGGGATGGTGTTTTGACATGCTATGTTACTATAATCATGCACCTAGTAAGTTACTGATGAAGAGTTTTCCCTTATGGGTAGATGATCTCACGTATCAGGACACTTCATCGAATACTAAGTGCCAACGATCGTTAGTCAGTAATATAACCCAACTAAGTGAGTTGGGGTCGAATCCCACATGGAGTTGTACGTGCTTAAGATTCAAGAGCCAAGTACAAATATGTTCAAGTCAACCATAGATAAGGAATTTATGAATAAAAACATAATTCAAATTAAAGGAGACACAAGTGTCAAGTATGGGGGTTTTGGTTGTAATTATCAACTACGATAGCAGCAAATAACACGAATAAACAAGTAAAGAGACGGGTTCTTGGAATGTGATTGGATTATAGGCTATGGTAGACAAATGGGTAAGTCCAACTGATAGTAATTAGCTGTAAATCAGTGGATAAACTAGACTTTAGTGGGGATAAACTTTTTCTCGAACAATTTACCCCGAATCAAATTGGTTTCTCTCGAACATCAATAAGCAACAATAAAGAACAACCTACGCTTTAGTACATTCACGCTCTTGAGCTAAATGTGTGGAAAAGGGTTTAGGATTCACTCTCTCGAGCTGAACCCATGACAACCCAATACCCACAGACCATAAAATCAGAAATCTTGGTTTAAAAACCTCTCTCTCGAGCAAGCCAAAACCACGAAGGTAGAATTGTATTTGCAACTACAACCCTTTAAATTAAACCACAATTATTGATTTAAATCACCTTTAAATAGCATTTAAACTATCAATTAATAAAATTCATAAACTAAATCAGTCCATAATCACATAGTCACACCCCAAGAATTGGGGTTTTAGCTAGACATCATCAAAAGATAAAAAATCGTTACCAAATTGTGTTTCTATTAACTGGGTAAGATTAATTTCATCTTTACAAAGGTCCAAATCGAAGAATCTCAAAGACCCACTATCAATTTCTCAAAAATGGAAAACTTCAATTCTTCAATGCTAAGGAAAATATTGTCTCCAAACTTAGAGTTCTATTGTAAAACTGATAAGAAATTCTATATTCTGAAAAACTCTCAAACTAAGAATTTAGAAACGTATTTATAGTCGCCAAAAATATGTTGCGAAGGACTATTCGGCGCAGTAAATCGGGATCGCCTATCGATTCGGCGATCCTCCCTTTGGTCAATTTCATCGCCCTTTTACTTTGGCCTTCAGCATCTTCACGTTCTGTAATTTTGGGTGATCAAACACTGCATCACGGAACCGTTCGGTGACACGCTGACTGCTCCATTCCATCGCCGACTTGATTTTCTCCTTCAGGGCTTGGCACACTGTAACTTTAGGCGAGATCATAGCCATTCAGTGACTCACCCAATGGGTTAGGCGATCACCAGGCCTTCATTTCTTCATTCTTTCAGCTACCTTGTTCCTTTTCACTCATTAGTGTCCATGGTTTATTCCACAATCCGAATACCTGGAAACCAAGGATTTACATCAGTTATTGGCATAAAATAAGCATTTAAGGACACTAAATCTATTAAAATAAATCCCTAAATGAGTCCAAATCGTGGACTCATCAACACCCCCAACTTAAATTTTTGCTTGTCCTCAAGTTCAGCAGTTCAAAAAGGATGTCTCAAAAAGTTCTACACAAGATTCAATCATGAATGCACACAAAAAGACTCAACTTACTCATGCAAGGATCAATTCCGCACTCAAAGATTCAAGTTGTGACTCACCATTATCAAAGATTCTAAAGTTCACAATACTTGCTTCAAATGCAGGTTCAAGCTCAATAAAGGTACTCAAATGCCCTCAAACAAAGAATGATTACATATTCACACACAATGGTTCAATAATTTAAAGCTCTGAAATCAAATGCAATACTCACACTTACAAAGATGAACACAATGCATGATTTTACCCATAAGTTTGCCCTTATCTTCCAACCAACAATTGTTTCAGCTCACTCAAGATCAAAAAGGTCTTTTCAAGGCTTATAACGGGGTGAGTGCAAATGTATGGTATTTTAGGCTCAATGGATGTAATCCTCATGATATGTGGTGTGGACAAAACATATTTTCCTTTTATTCGTCATTCTCATTCGTGCTCACAAGTCACCCTATTATTCATCTTCCATGCACTGTTGGACACCCCATTTCTTTTTGCATTTTAACAACTTTATTCCACAACTTTTTCATTCTTTTCTTCTTTTTCTCTCTTTTTTTATATGGAGGGGTTCCATCTTTTCTCAAAACCATAGGTCAAAGGGGACTTCTTTAAACTTATTGATTTACCTTCTCTTTTCACCACACCCCAACTTAGGCTTTTGGCCTAAGTTGGCTATTCACACAAACCACAAATCAAGAGGATTAAGGGTAATGGATCAAGAAAGGTCACAATTTCTTCAAGTTTCTTCCAAGAAAAGGGTAAGGCTCAAAAGGTGTTCAAGAGAAGTTCACACACTCACAAGGTAGGC